TATAATATTAATTAGTATTACAAGCGCGGGTTGCATCTCTAAAAGGCTCTAGTTCCAGATTATACACACAAGCTATAATCAAGATGCTATAAATGCTACGTTGTCATAGATAAGCATGAGTAGCATGCGTTCATGTCTTTGTTATTATATTCATGATTTCCTTATGATAGATGGTTACATAGTTTTATAATTCATGCTTTTAAGAGAACTAACTGTGTAGAGGAGCCTTGTTCCTGTCTATATTCTTAGCTTCAGGTGCATATGAACTCTCACATCTAGGTGGAAGACCGACTTATTACTATAGTGAAAAAATATCAACGATCGAAATCATGGATAGATAATAGCACATGTGGACTCCTCGGACATGAATAGTTATCTAGAAACACAATTGTCGATTTTGTGCATAACATGGATTTTTCGTTGATTTTCTGAGCGTGAGGGATGTCATTGCTATGTGTTTATTTTAGCTAGAACAAGCTGGAAAACTCCAACGGAGGGTCGCCGAAGATTACGAGAGCCCTCTGGAGGGAGACATCCGAATTCTGCGCGGACACAAGTTGCCGATCACATGTCTCGTCATATCTCCCGACGACAAATATATCTTCACCGGCTCAAAAGACTGTTCAGTCATTAAATGTAAGCCAATGACATCCAATCACCTCCTTGAGGTTGCTTGAGAGAACTGTATTGAGACATTGCGTTCATGGTGAGACTTTAATGAGACATAATATAGTGAGACTGCATGGGCTCGTTAAATACGATACAATGTAATGTTTATAATGGCTAAACAGTTAGGTTGGTTCAACATTTAGTTGAATTTCTAGCCTGTAGGTGGCACTGCTGCCGTGATTAATCGCAAACGGCAGTTAGATGCGATATTATATGACTACTAGGCACTTTAATTTAATTTAATTTTTTTTTTTTTAGGGTTAGGGTTAGGGTTTAGGTTAGGTTTAGGGTTTAGGTTAGATTAGGGTTTAGGTTAGGTTTAGGGTTTAGGTTAGGTTAGGGTTAGGGTTAGGGTTTTTTTTTTTTTTTAAGTGCCTAGTAGTCATATCCTAAGTGCCTAGTAGTCATATAATATCGCATCTAACTGCCGGTTGCCGTGATTAATCGTGGTGTCATGTTGCTGGATTACAGGGAGTGTGGAAACGGGAAAAAAGCTTCACGTGATTCCGGGCGGCCGCAGCGGTACGGAAGCGACGCACGTCGGCCACACGGCGCACGTTCTAGCTCTCGCTATCTCAACGGACAACAAATTCCTGGTGCGTGTTCTCTTCTGCAGCGATTCGTTTACGTACGCGTCTGCTCGCCATTTTATTCGGTACCCATCAGGGGTCGAAATTAGCGGTATTCCGATGTACGCGGGATAGTAGATTCTTGTGTTGGATACCAGATTTCAATGCTTGGTA